GTATGATTTGTGTAAAAAACCAACAGGGGTCCTTGAAGGGTCTTGCTAAAAATATGCCCCCCCCACTTAATGGGGCTCTCTGCCTAAGAGAGAAATGGCATCTCTTTTTAAGTATGATAAATGGTAAGGCAGAAATAATGGCTACAGCTTTGGAGGCTGTGTCTTGTACCAGGTGCTCACAATTCTTTATTATAGCATTTTAGGAGGGTAATTGCAACTCCCAACACCCCCTTCTGCAGGTGAGAAAGGGGTCAGAGAAGTCAAGTAACCTGCCCAGAGTTACGCAGCCAGAAAAGTTGAGCCTCAGATATTTGACCCCCCAGCTACAGGCTTGCCTCTTAGAGCATCCACTGTGCAGGGGTGTATCTGACAGGTATGTCAGCAGATCTGGGATCCAAGAGCTAAAACAGGACAAAACTCTTTATTTCAACATCTAACACATCTTTAAAAAAAAAAAATGGAAATGAAAAAAAAAAAATCTCGAATGAGGATTCTGACTTCTACCATTCTCTACAAGCCTGGGAGCAGTGAACCCTCATGCATATCTTCCACAGTGTGATAATAATATGTTAAATGTTGCATGGCACAAACTAGGGCAGCTAATGAATGTGGAGCCAGCCGTGGGGAGCAGATACTGTGGGACAGGGTGGGCCTTCTCGGCCAGCGTCTCTACCTGCCCTGACGTCATGGATGTCCTTTTCAATGTGCTGTGCTCTTGGCTGGTGCAGGTGCAGATGCAGCTCGAGTTCTGAATTCAGTTCATCAATCTTGGTGGCCACGAAGAACCCGGCATTGAGGGCACATTGGTCAAACCACTTTTCGAGGTGCTCGAAGAAGCCAGCTCGAATTCTGAGGGAGAGACCAGGGAGGGTCAGCCCTGCCAGCCATCATGACCAGGGAGAGATCTTTCCATATCAAGACCCAAAGTGCTTCCCACTTTCACTTCTTCATTCTCACTTTATTTCCCAACTGCATTGTATTTCATTGCATGGATGGACCATCGTTCACTTAACCAGATCACTGCCGGAGGATGCTGGGTGGTTTCCAACCCTTTGTTCTTACACAGAAGCCTGCAATGAACAACCTTGTACACATGAGGATACCTCAAAAAGTCTGTGAAACATACGATTAAAAGATAATACATACCTTTCCGTGAACTTTTTGAAGACCCCTCGTATGTCAAGTGTAGAGGTTTTTCTACAGGATAAATACCCTGAACTGGAATTGCTAAATCAAAGGTTAAAATACACTTGAGATTCTGGTAGAAATGGCCAAACTGTTTCCACTGGAAGGCAACTTGTATTCCCATCAGCAATGAATAATAGTTCCTGTGTCTCCACAGCCTCAGAATGTATGAGGGTACTTTAAAAAGTTCATGGAAAGATTCATTTTATCTTTTAATTCTACTTTTCCATGAATTTTTTGAAGTACTCTCATTTTGTCAAACTTTTGAATTTGATAAATTTGTTCTATTGTGACTGAGACTGAGCATATTTTCATGTGTTTAAGACGATTCAATTAATTTTTCTGTGTATTGTTCATTAATGTGTTTTTGCCTGTTTCTCTATTGTGTAGCTGTTCCTTTTTAAAAATCATTTTCTAGGAGCTGTTTATATATATATTTTTAAATCAATTTCAAGGAGCTTTATTTATTGTTCTCCCAGAAATGATCTATAGGTTCAATGTGATAACAAGAAACAAAAAGATCTCAGCAGATGTCTTCTTATGGAAACCGACAGGCTGATTTCAAATTTCATGTAGAAATACGAAGGGCAGAGAATAGAGAAGACAATCTTGGAGAAGAACAAAGGTGGAGCCAGACTTACGCTACCAGATATTAACTCTTAGTATAAGTCTACTGCAGTCAAGTAGTGTGATGCAGTTGTGCAAGGATAAACACACAGCAAGATAGGAAAGAGGTACGGCAGAGCAGTGAGGTAAATGGCCCGGGGTCACTTGGTTTTCCATATGGGGAAAAAAATGAATCTTGACTCCTCTCTCACACCATAAACAAAAAAATTTCAGGTGGGGCTGGCCCAGTGGCGCACTGCTATAGTGCACCGCTTGGGAGGGCTACGGCGCTCCCGCCGAGGGTTCGGATCCCACATACAGACCGGTTCCCGCTCACTGGCTGAGCGGTGGCGCACTGCTACAGTGCACCGCTTGGGAGGCCTACGGCGCTCCCGCCGAGGGTTCGGATCCCACATACAGACCGGTTCCTGCTCACTGGCTGAGCGAGGTGCGGGTGCAACACCGAGGGTTGCGATCCCGTTGCCAGACACGAAAAAAGACAAAAAAAAAAAAAAATTTTGGGTGGATTTTAGATTTAAATATGGAAGTTTAAAGCAATAATATTTCTAATGTATAACATTGAAGGATATTTTCATGGCCTTGGGGCAGGCAAAAATTTCTTAAATAGGACACAAAGTAAACTAATCCTGATGAAAACACTGATAAATTAGACCTTATTAAAACTAAGAACTTGTGTTCATCGAAAGATACCTTCAAAGAGAGTAAAAAAGACAAGCACAGAAAGGGGATAAACACTTGCTATATATTTATCTGATAAAAGCTTCAAATAGGATATGTAACTGCTGTAGATTGGATGCCCCCCAACCTCATTAAAGCTTAAATCTCCACTGTAATTGTTGAGGCTGGGAAATCTTATTATGACAATTGAAAGGGGGGGCCTTGAAGAGGTGAGTGGACTGTAGGACCGTGCCGTAGTGAATGGATTAATAATGGTGGGTGTGGGCGTGGGTCTGAGGGCTTTAAAAGAAGAGCACGTGAGAGGTTAGTCTCTCTCTGCTCTGCCATTTTCTGCCATGTGGGACCCCTGGGTCACTGTTGCCATCACCAAGACCCTCACCACATGTGCTCCCTGCACTCTGGACTTCCCAGCTCCGAAACTGTAAGCAACAAATTACATTTTCTTATAAATCACCTAGTTCCATGTATTTTGTTATAAGCAACAGAAATGGACTATTACAGGACCCCTGGGTCACTGTTGCCATCACCAAGACCCTTACCAGATGTGCTCCCTGCACTCTGGACTTCCCAGCTCCGAAACTGTAAGCAACAAATTACGTTTTCTTATAAATCACCTAGTTCCATGTATTTTGTTATAAGCAACAGAAATGGACTATTACAATAACTAACTCCCATAAATTAATAAGAAAAAGACAGATAATCCGCTAGAAAAAAATAGGCAAAAGATTTCACCAGGTATTTCCCAAAAAAATTACCAAATAGCCAACAAGTATATGAAAAGGTACACAACATCATTATTCATCAGAACAATGCAAATTAAAACCACAATGAGACACCACTACAATTACACCAGAATGGCTGACATAAAAATCACTGACAATACCAACTGTGGGGGAGATGGAGCAACCAGAACTCTCATACCCTGTTAAATTATTAAAACCACTTTGGAAAACTCCTTGTTAGTATCTTTGGCCATATCTCCTAAAAATGGACATGCATATACCCTATGACTCAACAGTTCCACTCTTAGTTATATATGTGACAGAAATGTATACGTATGTTCACCAAAAGATGTACACAAGCATGTTCACAGCAGCACTACTGGTATATCTTCAAACTGGAAAAGACCCAAATGTGCATCGGTAGTAAAATAAATAAATAAAATGGATTATATTTTTTTTATCATGGAATACCATACAGAAATAAAAAGTGAACTACAGTCACAGTTAAGTATATAAATTTTACAAATATAATGGAAGAAGTCTGACATAAAAGAGTGAGCTATGTATGATTTCATAAAATAAGGTTCTAACACAAGGAAAATGAACTCAGAATATTTATTATCCTTGGGCAAGAGAGGGCAGTGACTTGGGGATGGGTGCATGAGGTGGGTCCTATTTCTTGTGGGTTCTAGGTACCATACGTCTTCCCTTTGGATAATACATTGACCTACACACGTATGGTTTCCATACTTTTAGGTACGTATGTTATCCTTCAATATGCAAATTCAATTAGTCAGACACAACTTTTTTTCTGGTTAGTCACAAATCTAGATGGCATATTTGCTGGTGCAAGACTCTGGATTACAGCGTCAAGATTCATATCTTGGTTGTAACTTCTTCCTGTCTTGGAGATCTTGGCCAGATAACTAGCTCTCTGAGCTTCAGTTTCTTCAGCTGTAAAATGGAGTTAATTATGGTACCTCTCTCACAGTTATTGAGGGGATTACATACTCTCGATATATAATAGCTCTTGTGATGGTCCTTTTTGATCTTTGTCCTATGGGCTATCGAGAGGATGGATGGTGACCCGTAGTAGAGGGAGGAGAAGGATGATGTTTGAAGCAAGAGACATTTTCAGATAAGGATGAGGTGCAGGGGAAAGAGCCCAAAGACCTAACCTTACTCCTTTTGCTGCCTATCTCTGGCCTCCTGCCCATGTGTAAATATGGGAGGTAGACTAACCAGGTGATCTCTAGCTGATTAGTCCTACCTACGACATTGTAGAGGCAGGAAGGCGATGGAAATGTCATTCAAAACCAAATGGAAATTTCCATGTTTGGTCCAATCTCGAACACAAAGGCCCAGAAACTTGGGAGTTAGGGGAGGTAAATTCTCACTGGCAAGATTATGGATCATTTCTCTATTCTTCCTTGTTGTTCTATGTTTTCTGCATGAATGTGTCACATTAGAGCAAAATATCATACATGATATATTCATACCTATGGTCTATATATATAGAATTTTTTAAAAAAGAAAAGAAACCCTAAGATTACAGATGTGCCAGGAACTAGACACCAAAAGCATTTGTCAGGGAAAACACTGTCTTATGTACAAGGCCCAGGCCAGCGGAGTGTCCTGGGACAGGCACAGAGGGTCACTCTCACAGAGGATATTTGTGACTGCAAATAATTCCTGAACATTTGCTATTTTTTAATTGTTTCTCACCCTACCCTCCCTCAGTTATCTATGTGTTTTATTTTTCCAGCTGAGACTAGCCCAATTTTGTTACAATATTTCACCTTGTTAATAAAACTTGGAGCAAGAGAATAAGAATAGAAGGATTTTTCTACTCACTGTTTCTTAATTTCTAAAACGAGTCTGGATGGAACTACCACTTGTTCTATGAACTTGGCACTGGAAGTGTCATTGATGAGCAGGTTCAAGTTGGAATGGGTCCTCCTGCAACTCTTTTCTTCTTCTTCTTCCAGAGATAGGAAGACAAAGTAAGTGTTTCCACTGGAAGTTGTGAAGTACTCCATATCCTCACAGGAGATTTCCTCCAGACTCTCTTCCTTGGCTCCAGCCTACACAGGTAACAAGACTTCAGACTTGACATTATCAAATGATCTTAGAGATGCCAACCACAGTTACTTGGCATCAAAGGCTGCAAGCCTGTGAGCCAAATCTCACCTATAAATTGTGTTTTTTCTCCCCACGTAGTGCTTTTAAAATTGGGAAATTCCACATAAAAATCTGGGGGCTTGATTTATCTTAAAACATCAGAAAATATGCATCCCCACATAGCATTTGGCTGGGCCAAGTGATGACAGCACAGTCTTCTCCACTTGTCACTCTTTTACACTTGGTCTCCAGCCCTCTTTTCTGTTACACACCTGTGGGCATCTGAGTTTGGGATCCCTACTCAAAAAGAAGTCTCATACACCAGTTCCTCCACAGCAGTGTAGGAAATGAGTCTTTCGCCATTCCATCATCATGGAATTCAGGTGATTATTCTGTGAGTTTAAATGTGTTTTGAGGACAAGACTTATTAATATGAGAGCCATGTCCCCACACTCATAGGACAGCTCTGTTTGCCAGCTTGGATATGGATCTTCTGTTTACACAACTAGAAAATAGGAAGTAGGAAGAAATGAACAGGCTGGAGCGAAGTAGGAGAGGCTGAGTTGGTCTATACAGTGAAGAGAATGTGAGAGAGAGAGGGCCAGGGAGGGATAAGGAAAGCCACATAGTAGAGGGGTGACTCCAGAGTGGGTCGCAGGACTTAAGAAGGTGAATTTTAAGAAGCATTTAGTGCACAATTGGATCCCTGTTGACAAAAGTAAAAAGTTATGAATAGTTTGTAATTCTTTATATGCACCTCTACGGAGCCTGAGCCACTGGGGACCCAAGGCTATATGAGGGACACCCACAGAATGAACACAACAGACTTTCTCCCCACCCAAGAATGGGTCAGTTGCTGGTCTACCTCATCCGCAGAGAAACTGTCCTGTGCTTCATTCGCCCCCTCATCTTCCTCCTCTTCATCCCCCTCCTCCGAGGTCTCCTCCTGCTTGTCCTCCTCCTCCTCCTCTTCTTGAGCCATCTCACTTTCCTGGTTTGGGGATGGCTTTGAGCAGCTCCTTTCAACTCGCATTTCTTCTGATCCTTGAACAGAGCCCCCTCTGGACTCATCCGTCCTGTCACTGTGCGATCTTTTCTTCTGGCTCAGCTCCTCTTCGGTGGTGGAGGACCCCATTGCTGTATCTTTTTCTTCTTCCATCTCTTCTGCTGGCCTGGTGGAGCTCGTCCCTTGACTTACGCTTTCCTCACCTTTGGTCATTTCCATTTCAGCCTTCTGTGTCTTCCTCAGTTTTCTCATTCTCCGCTGAAAGTGCTTTTCGTGTGCTTCTGTTGGTGCAGCACCAAAGCACAAGGAGAGACAAGTTACCAATGTTGCCTGAATTGGGCCTCCCCAACCCACAAACACAAGAGTGAAGTCAGGGAGAATCAGACCTGAATTGTAAAATGTTACCTGGTTGCCTGAATTTGAAAATGATTTCCCCAGTCAGGTTCTGCAAGGAAAAAACATGAGTCACTGAAGGACCAGCACTGCCTTTCTCCAGAGTGCCGCTTCTTAAGTCATCTTTCTTTTAAGTAGGAGGACCCACCCCTCCTCTTCAATATCTGATGCAGGCTTTGACCAACCTAGTTCACTGGGCAATCAGGGTGTTCCCAATCCAGGGAACCAGTTTTCCTTAAATCCAAGCAGACTAGCAAACCCTTACAGCACACAATGCGCAGTAATGGAATAAAAGCTCATTCTGACACATTTTCAGTAGTGATCTGGAGCAAAGGGCAAGAAAAATATAAACTGAGGGATGTAAACATGGGGGCAGGAATCTGTTACACTGGGTGCTGGATGGAAACAGACAGAATGATTGATGTGATCCTGCAAGCCCCCTCGTTAACCTTACAAATCCCCGGTTTCACAGGCTCTGGGTGAAGTTGTAAGTATACTGTGTTATGAATAGCACTGTGTACTGTGGAATTTGTAGGTTTAGATTTGAATCCTCCTAACAAGCTGAGTGACCTTGGACAAGTCCCCTAAGCCCTGTTGTCCTCCCCTGTGAAGTAGGGATCATAATAGTGACCATACCTTTAACCCAGGTGACCAAAATGATCTCGAAGGGCAGACAATGAGCTCACCCTTCTATGACTTGAGCCTCCACCTCAACCCGGGTGTCATAGGGAACATTTATTAGCAAGTGAACAGGGATCCCTTCCGAGGGGACAGATTCTCTGGGGAGGAGTTGGGTATTACGTTTACGTGGAAAATTCTTAGCCAGGTTGGGTGCCAACCACAAGCGTTTTTACTCTGGCCAGGCAAGACTCTGGCTGGATGTGTGGGCTTAGTTCAAACCATGGCATTCCAGGTATCCATGCATTCTCCCGGTGATCATTTATTATGTCTAAATTATGCACAAGACTCTGTGCTAAGAGCACTCGAAGTTGGTTAAGAGTTAATAAGGGATACTTGTCCTTCAGGAAACACATTCTAGTTGGTGTCTGAGAACTCCTGCATTTGACAGCAACCATATACAAGTAAGTTCAGAGACCAGAGAGGTGGCAGGGGGTGAGGAAGGTGGGATGAGGGGTCAGACCGAGTGGGTGGGATCTTGCCTCTCTGGTAGTGGACTGGAAGTATGGGGGTTGGGGACCTGTGGAGACAGAAGGATCTAGCAGAGGGAGCAGGATGAGGAAGGACAGGCAGACAGGGGGCAGGGCAGGAAGCGGAATGAGTCTGCAGAACCAGAGGGAGTCCAGGTGGGAGCTAGAGGGAAGGGGGCCTCTGTGGTTGTCTGGGGGCTGTGACTTGGGTTTGGTGGGGGCTGCAGAGTTAGTGAGCAGGACAGCGAGTAGGTCAGAACTATATTTTACGAAATTATATGGCAATGGTGGGTACAATGAATGGAATTCAAAGTATTGTATAAAGAGCCTTTTCATTTTAAGTCCATTCAAGTCTCAAGCCCTGAATTCTAAGCCCTTCAACTTCTTTTAAACTGCGAAAGAGATAGTCTCTTTAGAGACACTTTTGGCTTCTTTCTCCCTGATGCCCTAACACAGATTTGAATTCTGCAGGGTGAGGGATGGCTTTCAAAGTCTAGGCAGATCAGAACAAGAAGGCATCCTCTCCCCTTTGCTTGTTCGTGAGTGACTGGGTCTATCGTACCCTGCCCTAACACAGATTTGAATTCTGCAGGGTGAGGGATGGCTTTCAAAGTCTAGGCAGGTCAGAACAAGAAGGCATCCTCTCCCCTTTGCTTGTTCGTGAGTGACTGGGTCTATCGTACCCTTCTCCATACCTGTTCAAAGATTTCCCGGACGAAGAAGTGTTGGCTGAGGGTGAAGCTGTAGGAGTTGAGTTCTTTCAGTATGATCTCTGGGTATTCCATCACTTCCTTTTTCAGGAGAGTGTGAAAACATTCATACCTGGGAGGCAGGTGGGTGAGACCACTGTTTAAGGGGGGCTCAGCTGAGTGTGAGACCCCAGGCAGGAGCCATGCCCCTGACCGCAAGGAGGTGGGCCAGAATCTGGCAAGCAATCTCTGCATAGAGATCTCTGCACAGAGCTACTGTGCTGATGTTCTTTTAATAGTGACTGCCCTTGGCCTGTCTTGCTATTTTTCTTTTTTTTTGGCAGCTGGCGGGTACAGGGATTGAACCCTGAGCCTTGGTTTTATCAGCACCACATTCTAAGCAACTGAGCTAACTGGCCAGCCCAGTTTTACTATTTTTCTAATCATACAAGGAATACATACTCTTTGTAGAAAATTGGGAAAACACACACGAGTTTTCTCTTTGTTGTAATGTGAACTCCCTTTTCCTGTCTACTCTCCTAATCCTGTCCTCGAAATGTGCTTACATTATCCCATCAATCTTCAAACATGCCAAGCCCAGACTTTCATATGCTTCTCAAATAAGAAGACCAGGGCTCAGGGAGTTATTCACTTGCTCCAAATTACACTTCTCAGCCCAAGTACTGCAGTCAATTGGTAGTACAATCCCATTTGTATGAATGGTCCTTACAGAATTAGTGGTACAAAGGCATAAAGATACGAGGAAGTTCCCAGAGAAATTAGAACCAATCAAAAAAAGCTAATCAATTGGGGGATGGTGAAATCATTACGAAGTATCTATATTAATGAATTCTACACAGTCATTGAAAACTGAAATATATCTATATAGAACAATATGTGTAACATAATCCAATCTTTATTTTAAAAACACTGTATATGTGTATGAGGGTAGTTCAAAAAGCTTGGGGGAAAATAGGATTAAAAGATAATAAGAATCTTTCCACAAACTTTTTGAAGACTCCTCATTTATACCCATATCCATAAATATATATGTTCATAAAAAGAATATTTGGACAGGAATGAGGGGGAAATCTCTATATGTTTGCAGTGGCTGACTTTTGTTTCCTTTAACAAAGAGCAAGTATGTTTAAATTTTAAAAAGAGGACCCATATTCTTGACCTCGACAAACTTTTTGTAATTCTCACAGGAAGCTTCTGTGTTGGCTGAGAGCAAAGCTGCAAAAAACCACAGCGTTCACCCAAGTTAGAAGCACAAGTTTCGTCTTAAGCTTGCTGGGCACACCCCTGGGCTTCTATGCTGCCTATGACTTTGAACATAATTGCAGGCCATCCCCTCCTGTCTTTGAGGGGTCTGGTCAGCCTACCTGCATTTCATGTTCTTCAGAAAATCTTTGGCTTTTTCCAGGTATAACGCCAACTTCTCTTCATGGCTTTGCTGCCTCAGTTTGTCCAAGAGCTTATCGAGTTGGGCCTCCTGGGCCTGGCAGCCATCCCCCCAAAAGAGGAAGCAGACATGAGTGCCCAGAGCTCGCAGAGCGTAAGTGACATGCAGAGACCCTGGCACTGGAACTGAGGTTTAGGCGCCCGGGGCAGGCACAGGGCCTCCTTTTCTACAAAAGTGGCACAGAATCTGCCGCCGCCCTCACTCTCTCCGCTTCAGACCTCCGGGCTCCTCTCCATGTCTGGAATGTTCTTCCCTGCCCACTTTACAGGCCTGGGGACCCAGCTCAGATAGGACTACTTGGGGATGCTTCCTTCACACCCACCTGCCGGGTCAGGCCCACACGACACCTTCCCATGGCACCTGCTCTTTGCTCCCCTTCTCACCAGTCACAGTCATCCCTCCAGCCCCTAGACTGTGCAAGGGCAGGTGGGGTAGGGACCAGGTGATCTCCTGTGGGGACAGGGTGACTGCTGGATGCTCCATTCCCCACTGTATGGCTTTTAAATGATAAACACTTGCATAGTTTGCTACTGAATAACATTTGTTCTGCTGCAGTAAGAAGTTGGAGTGTATTCTCCCCTGCCTTTGAGAGTGTGATGCCATATCAGACCCCATATGTGAGAGCTTGGAGCTACTCCCCGCCTTGGAAATGTTATATCACATAGTAAGAAGTTGGAGTGTATTCTCCCCTGCCTTTGAGAGTGTGATGTCATATCAGACCCCATATGTGAGAGCTTGGAGCTACTCCCCGCCTTGGAAATGTTATATCACACCTATCAGTCCCATATGTGAGTTCCTGACCTCAACTATTGGACTTCGAAATACATGTAACCCAAGAATTTGACAGACACTTTGAGAGCTTAGGCTGTGGTGGGTTTCACGGTCAGCTACTTCCCTGAATGCCAGGAACTCTAAAGCCTCGCCCACCAACACTGCCACCCTCCTGTGTTGGGGGACCTTACATGTAGTCACAGATCCCCACCCTGTTGGTCAAGCCTATTTCTCCTGAGAATCACTTGTAAAATGTACATCTTAAGTTTTATTTACTTTTTTTCCTCAGAGGCCTGATTCCATCTGAATTGAGCAATAATTTTGACACTCACTGCTTGTGTGGTTAATGTACCTCGTCTATCGAGTGTATTTCCTGTGAGATTTGTTCACGTTTTTCTCCCCTCCTTTAAGCTCTGTGAACCTAAGAAAAACCTTCTCTTTGTATGGCAATAAATTTACTTCCCTGAATGCCAGGAACTCTAAAGCCTCGCCCACCAACACTGCCACCCTCCTGCGTTGGGGGACCTTACATGTAGTCACAGATCCCCACCCTGTTGGTCAAGCCTATTTCTCCTGAGAATCACTTGTAAAATGTACATCTTAAGTTTTATTTACTTTTTTTTCCCCAGAGGCCTGATTCCATCTGAATTGAGCAATAATTTTGACACTCACTGCCTGTGTGGTTAATGTACCTCGTCTATCGAGTGTATTTCCTGTGAGATTTGTTCACGTTATTCTCCCCTCCTTTAAGCTCTGTGAACCTAAGAAAAACCTTCTCTTTGTATGGCAATAAATTGTGTGACTCGTGAAATCACACCTTTACCGTCTCCTTATTTTAACTATACAGAACACCCCCAATCTGTGTGTCTCTCTCTCAAGCACACTCTCTTACAGACATGTTTGGTTCCAGAAAACCTTCACACTGCTGGAACCTGGCTGAAGGAGATTTCTCCTACTCCCATCCGGTCCCATGACTGAGGTGAGCCTCAATTTCCCCATCTGCACAAGTTTTATAGCTTAAGGTTTTACATTCTAGGATCTGTTATGAGTTAATTTTTGTTTGTGGTGTAATGTAATGGATCAAAGTTCTTCTTTTTTGCATCTGTGTGCTGCCTGGGTTCACTGGCCCTGAGCCTTGGGCAGCTGGCAAGCTGGTGTGGCCCACCCCTCACCCCTTCGGGGTGACCCCGGGGCTGCACCTCCTTCTCCAGGCTGTGCAACTGTCGGTGCTGCTCCACCCTCTTGTCGAGCTCCAGCTCCTGCACTGACAGCTTCCTCCTGTGGGCCTCCCACAGCTGCACGGCCTCCTGGACGTAGCTGAACAGGCCCGAGCTCTGCCATTCCGTCTGCTTTGCCAGGGCCTCAAAGGATTTCTGCAGTGGCAGAACCCAGAGAAGGGGGCCTGAGGGCTGACTGTGCTCAAGGACAGGGCCCCACATCTTCAAGGACTGATGTCACTGCCCAGGCACCTTCCCTCAAGGTCGACTTCTGGGCCACACCTGGGCTCCTGGCCCTCCCTCCTTGAGGTAACATCTGTTCTGCCCAAGGCCATGCCCTCGCTCTGGCTGACCCTGAAGTCTCATCTCTAAACTTGTCCTATGTCCCACTAAAGTCACTGACAGGGAGAAAATGGAGTTTGGGCCTAGAGGAAAGAAGGACCAACCCCAGAAAGCAGCCCGGGCACTCAGGTGGGCCATACCTATCTCGGCCTAGGCATCTCTCCCCTTTAGAGTTTCCTGACTCACAGCATCTGGGCCGAACACCATACCTGCTGTTAAATCCTCACATGTCACTCCACCTTTTCTTAAAAAAAAATATGTGTCTATTCCCTCATCTGGGTCAGGAGTCAGCCCTGACTCACAGCATCTGGGCCGAACACCATACCTGCTGTTAAATCCTCACGTCACTCCACCTTTTCTTAAAAAAAAATATGTGTCTATTCCCTCATCTGGGTCAGGAGTCAGCATACTGTGCCCTGTGGGCTACATTTGGCCCTCTGTTTTTGTTTGGCCTTGTGAGCTAAGCACAGGTTTTCCAGTTTTAAATGGTTGAAAGAATTAAAAGAAGATATTTAATGATGTGAAAATTATGTGAAATTCGAATTTCAGTATCCATCAATAAAGTGATTGGAAGAATAAAAGCCACATCCATTGGTTTCTGCATTGCTCTGTGCTGGTTTGTGCAACACTGGTGGAGTGCTCACTGCCTAGAGCATCTACCTGGAGTTATGCATAGCATGGGTGTCTGCTGAGGCTGGGAGGAGTCAGGGGGATGAGCCTGGAGCAGCCAGCGCAGGGGGACTGCTCTGAGAGGGGCTGGCAAGGCCGAGTGGACACATAGGGACATATAAGTTGGAGGCCCCCTGACATCACTCTCCTTACAGCCCAGTGCCCTGGGGCAACCCCTCCTGTCCCCGCTCCCAGTTGCACAGGTCCCCCCACCACGCACGTCCAAGAGCTCCAGCTCCTTCTCCACCTTGCTCTGGACCACTCCCACCATCTGGAAGAAGGACGGGTTCACCAGGGCCTCTGCCTCCGCCTCAGTGAAGGCTTTCCAGTCCAGCAGCTGCTCCTGGAGGGGCACCGAGGCAGAGCCTGCTTAGGGCTGCAGACCCCCCAGCCATAAACAGCAGCCTACAGGGCCTCAGCGCTGCTGCAAGTTGGTCACGCGCTCCCAGGTGGACGGCGCGGTTCCACGAGAATTCTGCTCCCCTGGGGCTGCGGGTGCCCAGCAAAAGCTGGNAAGCCTATTTCTCCTGAGAATCACTTGTAAAATGTACATCTTAAGTTTTATTTACTTTTTTTTCCCCAGAGGCCTGATTCCATCTGAATTGAGCAATAATTTTGACACTCACTGCCTGTGTGGTTAATGTACCTCGTCTATCGAGTGTATTTCCTGTGAGATTTGTTCACGTTATTCTCCCCTCCTTTAAGCTCTGTGAACCTAAGAAAAACCTTCTCTTTGTATGGCAATAAATTGTGTGACTCGTGAAATCACACCTTTACCGTCTCCTTATTTTAACTATACAGAACACCCCCAATCTGTGTGTCTCTCTCTCAAGCACACTCTCTTACAGACATGTTTGGTTCCAGAAAACCTTCACACTGCTGGAACCTGGCTGAAGGAGATTTCTCCTACTCCCATCCGGTCCCATGACTGAGGTGAGCCTCAATTTCCCCATCTGCACAAGTTTTATAGCTTAAGGTTTTACATTCTAGGATCTGTTATGAGTTAATTTTTGTTTGTGGTGTAATGTAATGGATCAAAGTTCTTCTTTTTTGCATCTGTGTGCTGCCTGGGTTCACTGGCCCTGAGCCTTGGGCAGCTGGCAAGCTGGTGTGGCCCACCCCTCACCCCTTCGGGGTGACCCCGGGGCTGCACCTCCTTCTCCAGGCTGTGCAACTGTCGGTGCTGCTCCACCCTCTTGTCGAGCTCCAGCTCCTGCACTGACAGCTTCCTCCTGTGGGCCTCCCACAGCTGCACGGCCTCCTGGACGTAGCTGAACAGGCCCGAGCTCTGCCATTCCGTCTGCTTTGCCAGGGCCTCAAAGGATTTCTGCAGTGGCAGAACCCAGAGAAGGGGGCCTGAGGGCTGACTGTGCTCAAGGACAGGGCCCCACATCTTCAAGGACTGATGTCACTGCCCAGGCACCTTCCCTCAAGGTCGACTTCTGGGCCACACCTGGGCTCCTGGCCCTCCCTCCTTGAGGTAACATCTGTTCTGCCCAAGGCCATGCCCTCGCTCTGGCTGACCCTGAAGTCTCATCTCTAAACTTGTCCTATGTCCCACTAAAGTCACTGACAGGGAGAAAATGGAGTTTGGGCCTAGAGGAAAGAAGGACCAACCCCAGAAAGCAGCCCGGGCACTCAGGTGGGCCATACCTATCTCGGCCTAGGCATCTCTCCCCTTTAGAGTTTCCTGACTCACAGCATCTGGGCCGAACACCATACCTGCTGTTAAATCCTCACATGTCACTCCACCTTTTCTTAAAAAAAAATATGTGTCTATTCCCTCATCTGGGTCAGGAGTCAGCATACTGTGCCCTGTGGGCTACATTTGGCCCTCTGTTTTTGTTTGGCCTTGTGAGCTAAGCACAGGTTTTCCAGTTTTAAATGGTTGAAAGAATTAAAAGAAGATATTTAATGATGTGAAAATTATGTGAAATTCGAATTTCAGTATCCATCAATAAAGTGATTGGAAGAATAAAAGCCACATCCATTGGTTTCTGCATTGCTCTGTGCTGGTTTGTGCAACACTGGTGGAGTGCTCACTGCCTAGAGCATCTACCTGGAGTTATGCATAGCATGGGTGTCTGCTGAGGCTGGGAGGAGTCAGGGGGATGAGCCTGGAGCAGCCAGCGCAGGGGGACTGCTCTGAGAGGGGCTGGCAAGGCCGAGTGGACACATAGGGACATATAAGTTGGAGGCCCCCTGACATCACTCTCCTTACAGCCCAGTGCCCTGGGGCAACCCCTCCTGTCCCCGCTCCCAGTTGCACAGGTCCCCCCACCACGCACGTCCAAGAGCTCCAGCTCCTTCTCCACCTTGCTCTGGACCACTCCCACCATCTGGAAGAAGGACGGGTTCACCAGGGCCTCTGCCTCCGCCTCAGTGAAGGCTTTCCAGTCCAGCAGCTGCTCCTGGAGGGGCACCGAGGCAGAGCCTGCTTAGGGCTGCAGACCCCCCAGCCATAAACAGCAGCCTACAGGGCCTCAGCGCTGCTGCAAGTTGGTCACGCGCTCCCAGGTGGACGGCGCGGTTCCACGAGAATTCTGCTCCCCTGGGGCTGCGGGTGCCCAGCAAAAGCTGGACAGGGCTGTACCAGGCAGGGCGGCAGGAGCTCCCTGGGGGCAACAGAATTCTTCAAAATGAATTAGACTTTTATGGGTTTTTTAACTAAACAGTTTCACCAGGACGACAGGAAGGGGAAATTTTGACAAAATATTTCCTCTACCCCACAAAGCCAGTCACTGTTGTGCAGGGGTTTGGGAGTGAATTTACTGCCCCACCCTGTTATAGGGTGGTCAGGGAAGAGAGGAAAGTGGGCTGGACAGCAGGGGTGACGCAATCTGTGAAAGTGGCTCATTGTGATAACCCCCAGGACACCAACTCCATCCATAAAAAATGTGCAGTGCTGTGACTGATGCAAAGCCAAGGGCGAAGTCTGAGGTGATCTGAGAGTGTATAACTTCCTCTCACATGGGCTTCCTGGAGGAGGTGAGGTTGGGCTAAAACCTGAGGGATGGCAGGGATAACTGGGAAGGAGTTGGGGCAGAAGGACCAGCTTCAGAAGGTCCAGAGGCCACTGAGGGCTGGGGCCTGGGAGGAAGGAAGGAAAACTGGGATCAAGGCTGAAGGGCGGGGGTGGGGAGACAAGGTGGGCAGGGGCAGGGGGCCGGGCCGGGGAGGGCACACGGGTCTGCAGAAAGGGACGCCCACCTTGCAGTGCTGCACGTGGGCCAGGCAATCCTGCCAGGTCTTCTCATACAGTAAGCGGATCCGCATCACACAGCCCACGTGGTAGCTGTCTACAAGGGCAGAAAACAAAATGTGTCAGCCACTCTTCCAGAAGGAAGTGGGGAACTAAAAAGGAGAATGCCCATTTGCAAAGCGAAGCAGCTTCTCCCCAGCAAAGTGCCTCCACGATGAAGTTGATTTAGGTGAAGACCATTGGTCCCGATTTGGATCAGGGCTTGGTATCTCTCTCCTCACAAAGTTCCTGACACCCCATTTGCAAAGCGAAGCAGCTTCTCCCCAGCAAAGTGCCTCCACGATGAAGTTGATTTAGGTGAAAACCATTGGTCCCGATTTGGATCAGGGCTTGGTATCTCTCTCCTCACAAAGTTCCTGACACCCCAAGATGAGGACCTCAAATGGGGAACTCGTCTTGATCTGTTCTGGATCCATCCTGACCCTGACTTGACTCAGTTTCAAGGCTGCTGTAATTCCTTTTGGGAAGCTGCATCAAGTCATAAACCAGTAACGAGTATGCAAATTAATGAGTACAGGTCCTGACTGTGGTTAATTCCCGAAAAAGCAAATGTACTAGTAGAGTGCTCAGACGCTTGTTTCTCTATTTCGTTTCTCCCCTTCTCCTCCCTATGGTTTCCCACTTACAATAAACTCAGCGTGGCTCTGGTGTCTAAGATAAGCACCTCTAGTGCTCCTAGCAGTTTCTAGAAACTGAAAGACTAGAGATTGTGTAGTGGTGGTTTTTGAAAGGGCTGGGGAGGAGGGCAAGGTCGATGGCAGTTGGATGTAGACTGAGGACACAATGGAACTGATGAGGAGATACTCTGAAGCCACTTTCCCTCATCCCCAGGGCCATTTCCCAGGCCAAACCATCCCACCCTACATGAGGTCCCTGTAATGGGCTCTCTCAGGTCCCCTGCTTCCACTCCTCCACCCCTCTGAGCCATTTGTCCCTCTGAGCTGCTCCTCACCCCCAGCTCAGAACCTTCCACTGGGTTCCCACTGCCCTCAGGATAAGGCCCAGATGCCCCCACACAGCCCAGCACAGTCTGACCCCTTTGCATCTTCCAGCCTCTTCTGCCACCTTCTCTTTTCTCCGAAGTCCCCAGCTTTGTCTTCCTGTGGACCACCTCACATGCTGCATCCCTACTTACAATGCTTCCACCCTCTTGTCCTGGCCAACTCCCACTTGCCTTGCAGGTCTTAATTGGATTAACACTTGCTAGCCGAAGTCTTCCATGACCCCCAAACTGCTGTGTCCCTGACCATGGGCTCACATGGCTGGCGACTTGTCTGCTTCCTGCTGTAATGTACTGCTTGGTCTGACTTCTGCTCTGAACTGTAAGTGCCCAAGGGCAGAGCCATCTACTGGTTGCCAGGGCCCAGCACAACATCTGTCCACAGGAGGTGCCAAATGAATGGCAACTGTTGCTACTATTTAGGGTCTCAGGGCTCTTACAGAAACACACTGGGCATTATAAACCTGAGAGCCCTAGGAGCAATGGTGGGCACTACTGACCCAAGTACCCAGGCCAAGTCCAGCTGTGAGACTTCATTGGCCGTGCGACTTTGCATGGGATACTTCACTTCTCTGTGCCTATTACAAGAGGACAATGATACCATTGACCTCACTAGGTTGCTGTAAGCCTCAAAGGAGACAGAAAAATTATTGCATATCTTCTAGAGCTTGGCAAACTTTTTCTATAGAGGAATAGAGAATAAACAGTTTTAGCTTTGCAGCCATCCAGTCTCTGTTGTAACTACAGATGCTCCCAATAAACTCACTATAAGTTGAAAATATCATAAGTTGAAAATGCATTTAATACACCTAACCTACCAAACATCATAGTGATGCCAGAGGAAGGGGCTGGGGGACCTGATAGTCAGCTTCAACCCACGCTGTTCTCTTACCAGGTTCCTGACTCCGCCACAGGAAAGAATTCAAGAGCAGAGTCACGGCAGAAAGTGAGAACAGATTTAATATGATGCATAAAAGATCCAGATGTCACAGAGAAAGTACAGCCCAGCTCCAGAGACTGAGCAGGGCCCACACCAAGTTTAATACAAAAGTATGAAATACACACTTGAAGTCTGGTACAGAGTACAGGCTGGCACAAGAGAGTGAGCAGCCACTTGTTGAAAAGTAAGTTTGATACAAAAAGAAAGAAATACACACTCACACTCAAGCAGAGATGAGGCTGGCTCCAGGCAAGTGAGCGGCAGCCCTGCCTTCTGCTGGGATTTGGCTTTTATAGTTTCGCTATCTAATGAATATTCAATTAAGAGGGTGGTTCCCAGTTATGTAACATAGTCTTGCCTATGCTCAGTTGGTCTCCTTTTGGGGCATGGTCATTGGTCAAATTCTATCACATAGTTGAACATATTCAAGAATATTCTGTGCTTTTTAGCACCCCTAGTGGAAGGTCATTCGGCTACCAGGGTTTACAGCCCTTCTCTACTGAGCATGCCCAGCCATTGGATTTGCATAAGCCAGCCCCTGAGTTCTCACTTTCCTCCTGTTGGTGCTGAAAACTGGCTAACTAGCCACAGTAACTTTCCCCTAGGGCAGGGTCTAGAGCGGGAGGCTGAAACCTTGGGGAATGGCTTATAACCCAGAGGCATGTCCTGTAACCTGAGCCCAGGGAAACTGAGCACCTCCTATCTCAATAGCTTAGCCTCATCTGCCTTAAACATGCTCAGAACACTTGCAGTTGCCTACAGTTGGACAAAATCATCCAACACAAAGCCTGTTTTATAATAAAGCACTGAATATCTCATGCGGTTTGTTGAATACAGTACACTGTAAAGTATAGTATCTGTTGTTTACCCTCATCGTCCCATGGCTGACTGGTTGCTTCCGCTTGCTGCCGCAGCTCAGCATAAGAAGATATCATACTATATATCACTAGCCCAGGAAAAGATCGAAAATTGAAGTATAGTTTCTACTGAATGCTATCGCTTTTGCACCATCATAAAGTCAAAAAATTCTAAGTCAAACGATTCTAAGTTGGGGACTGTCTGCCTCACTTCTGCCACTGTAGGCCCGAGACAATATGTAAACAAACGAGCACAGCTTTGTTCCAATAAAACTTACTTACAAAACAGGCTGCCAGCCCATGGGCTGTGGTCTGCTGACCCTTGTTACAGAGTGTTTTTAAACATTACCGTTTACTGCTGAGCACTCTATGTGTAAGCCAGGCACTGAACTATGACGACACATCAACCTTGCAAGGTAGGGACCCCTTGACGTCTCTATTTTATGGAGGAGGAAGCGAGGCCATGAGAGGCTCTGACATCCCCAATGTCACACAGTCGAGTGAAGCAGAGTTGGGTGTCAAACCCATGTCTCTGGCTGCAGGACCAAGTGCTTCACGTCACACTCTCAGGACATGGCCCCTGTGCCGTCCTCGCAGGTGGTTATTGGAGTCACCTGTCTGTCTCATGCTGGGGTCGGGGGTCAGGAGTCAGAGTGTGTGGCTGGTGTGGCGTCTGAGGGGACAGTGAGTTGGGGAGGCCTGGGGAGGCCTGGGAAGGGAAGATGGAGGTGTCACTCACTTCCTCTCAGACAGACGACTGACTGCGGGCTGAGCTGCCACAAAGCTGCTGCTTGAATGAACTGAGCTCTGGGAAGACCCACGTGGGACCCTGCAAACACCACTCACCGAGCTGCTCGTTCAGGGAGTTCAGAGAAGAATGCCACTCAGTCAGCTGAGCTTTGTTGTAATTAGGGGGCAGGAGGTCGCTGGGGAAGGAAGATATGACAAGTAAGCCGCACGTGAACAAAATGTGGACTGACCAAAATGGGCAGCGTCTTCAAGAAACAGCTCAATCCTGAAGAAACAAAGGGACCCGCCGGGAAGTTCCTGGTGCCGAAAACATACCTTACAGAAAGGTCTTTTAATATGAACGAGATTGTTACTTAGAATAAAACTGAATTTTTCCAGTGGGAAAAAACTAACTGTTCCCATCATTTGACCCAGGAAGCCTACTTTTAGGGACCTAATCTGAGATAACAATACAAAATGCATACAAACTTTATGCATTAAGATGACCACTTAACAGTACTGTTTGTAAACACACACAGTAATGATAAAAATCTTCATACCGGAAATAGGAAACTGTCTTAATAAAGTATAGTGAATCCTCTTCAGAAGTCATTAAAAATAGTGAGGCAGATTGAAAAATGGGGTCAGTTTTGTTAGCTCCTCCCTCCGGGAGGTGGAGTCTGTTTCTCCACCCCTGGGCTCAGCCAGCCTGTTAGCTCAGTTGCTGAGATTGTGGCGTATAACACCAAGGTCAAGGTTTGGTTCCCTGTACTGGCCAGCCGTCAAAAAAAAAAAAGAAAAAGAAAAAGAAAAAAGAAAAGAAAACTGAGAGCAGGGGCTCAGAGTTAGAAAAAAGTTGAATTAAAACAACATGAACACTTTCCCTTGCCCCGAGATTTGTATCCACCTTGTTAATTCTATACCTGGATCAAAATGTGGCTGTACATGGGCCAGGGGGTGCCTGCCTGGGGGAGGACCTCTGCCTCTAGCCATGTGGGGTTCTAATAGTCGTTTACACCCTAGGAGAACTTAGCATGTGGGGTGGCGAGATGAGAAGAACCTGTGTCCTGGGGTGACCAGGGTGGGAGGGACAAGCGAGGTGCACGGGAAGAGGAGGAGTATTTTCCCAACATGTGAACTGTCTCCACCCTGCAGTACCGTTCAGGCTCCATCCTGCTGCTGTGGGTAGAGGTTACAGACTCCCCAGGCAGTAGCCTTCCAGGGTCTAGAACATTCAGTGGGCACTCCACCAAATAGCTGTATTATGGGATCAGAGCTGGATAGACCCACATCTGAGGCGAGCGTCCACAGCCTCTAACAGGTCCCCTGTCTGATGGCTGCATCTTCCTCACTGGCCTCCAGTGTCAGAACCCTCTGACATGCACTTCCAAGCTGCAAAGCTGATGGAGCCACTCTGCTCCCCGCCACCCTCAGTGAAAGGTCCAAACCCCTTCACCCACCCCCATGTCCCTACCTCCTCCCCACTCCCCTCTGGCCATGGCCTTGTTTTGAGCCCTTTGCCACATCACCCTAAACTTCTTTCTGCAGCTGTGGGTCATGCCCTTTCTTACCACTGGGGCTGGAATGCCCCATAATGTGGGTCCAGGCACCAAGCCCAGGACCAGAGAGCTGAGAGATGGCCTGGTCTGAAGGACGCCTCAGGAGAATCCCCCAAAGGTACTCCTCCCGAGAGACCCCTCCCTCCCATACCAGATAGTAAAGAGGTGCTCCAGCCGCTTTTGCTGCAGGGTGTTCTGGGTCTTCAGCATGGCCTCCAGCTCCGCCTTCACAGCCCCAGGAGTCTGGATATTCTCACTGGCCAAGAACTCACTGGGTGTCCAGACATGTTGGTACCATGGAGAGAAGAAGACCCACCATAGGAACATTTGGAGCCCCAGCACCCTTTGCTGTCCCCCCCACCCAGCCAGGACACTGAGGAAAGAAGGAAAGGGGGGGGAACGAAGGGACTCTCTGTGAAGCTCTGGCACTAACAGCATGGGACCAGCATGTTTAGATCCGATGGGGGTCCTGACTGCTACCTGCCCCACTCTGAGACTCAGTTTCCTCCTCTGTAAAATGGAGCTAACAACAGCACCTTCCTCACCCGGTACTTGGGAGGACTCATTAAGATGATGCAAGCAAAGCCCTTAGCACCGTGCCTGGTCATGGGAAATCCCAGTAAGGGTCAGCTATCGCCATCACTGTTGATGTTTACAGACATTTATAATGGCTGCCCAGGCCCAGGCCCGGACAGGCACTTTCCATGCAGCGTCTCGTTGGATCATGACTGAAGTCCTATCACTGGCCCATTATGATGTCTGTTTTGCATAGGAAGAGATGGGCTCCGAATGTTCAAAGGCTTGATCAAGGTCTTATGGAAAGGCAAGGTGAGCCAGGCCTTGGCACACTTATCCTTCATTCCCAGGTGCTCTCTGTTTGGAAAGGCAGATGGACAGATGGGCCTCCCACCCCAAGACCCGCAGCCCAGACAGACAGATATTCTTGGGTGTCCTTCAGACATCTCGGTCCAAGGCATCCCTTTCTTTGTAAAAGAAAGCCCCAAGATCCTTGTGTGAGTATTAACAAAAGTGCCATCTGGTGGAGGAAGTGTGGCAATGGGCCCTCTCTTCCCCCTCCCTCCCATAGGGAAATTTGCTCCTGAAGGGTGGGAAGTATCCAAAGCCTGAAAGATAGCCATTCTCCTGGGCCCAGTATGCACAGGGTTAGGAGTCATAACAAACAGTGGGAATTAGACAGATAGTAGATGACTGTGTTCTAACAGTTTGTACTGAGCTCAGAGAAGGCTTATGAAATAATGTTCAGGAAGAAAATAAGATATAAATAAAACTGCACGTATTGTATGGGTTGAAAAAAGCCTGGCAGAAAACATGCCAAAATATTAGCAGTGCTTCTCACTGGGGGGGAGGGATTATCTTTATCTACTTCTAACTTTTTCTTAAAAGAGTGCAGAAAAACAGTAGCATTTTAAAGGAATGACAAAAGGGAGGGAGAATGCCAGCCCAAGCCCAAGCCAGCCCCTGTGGGCTGGGGACAAGCTGTGGGCAGGGTGGCAGCCTCTGACCTGAAACTTTGCTGCAAGGCCTGCTTCTTGAGAGCCTTCCAGGAGTCCACCAGGCACTGCCAGTGGTGGTGGCTGTAGAGTTCCTGCTGCAGGGTGGCCTCCATCAGGTTGACAAACAGCTGGGCCATGGCCCTCCGGTTGCCCAGCAGGGCATGGTTCATGACCTGTGGTCACAGGCAGGAGGGCTCTGGGTGGGACGGAGGCTCTCTTAGGTCAGACAAGGCTCAGTTAGAGAGGAGTGGTGGGAGGCTGCAGAGGGGCCAGGTAAAGTGTAGGCCAAGGACTAAAGGGCTGGTGGCAGCATCTGAGGGGTACCAAGGGGTCAGTAGGCACTCAAGCAGCCATGGACAGTGATGAGGGCCTTCCTTGAAGGCTTAACTGGGGACCCCGACCACATGAGCTTCAACCCAGCTCCAAGGCCACATCAGATCATTGTTTAAAAAGGTGAAAGGAATTAAGCACTCCAGTGGGCTAAGTGTTCACCATTTTTAATACGCTTATTCCAAAAGCAGAGTGCTCATGCCATCAGGGATCAGCAGGGACCAGCCATGTATGGTTGTTATGGGAACCAGGACCCACAGACCAAAGAGGCCAAGCTAGAACATTCTTCAGCAGCCCCCCCAGTGGCTCTCACTGGGGCACCCTTGGCAAGGGAGTAGGGACAATCCTTCATTGTGTGGCACTGTTCTGTCCTTTAGCATCCCTGTCCCTCCTTAAATGAGAGTAGCTTCCCCATTCCCCCCCTGGCATGGACACAGCCCCAAATGCCTCCACACATTTCCCAAAGCCACAGTGCCCCGAGGCAGGGGTGAGAACCCTGCCACGCTCAGCGGGTAGAAATTCCAGTAATGCTTTTCAGTGCAGCCTGAGGTTTGCTGCCAGCTGTCCTTCCCAGCGGGGAGGCATTGGCAGGTATTTCCTCAAACTCCAGATCCACAGCCATAACGTGAGGATAATGTTTGCACATAGGGACTTCATGTAATCAAATAAGGCAAATGCACACAGAGCAAGCAGCAAACGTGTTCTAATGAGTAAAATAAGCATAGGGAAATAAGTGAAACACTGAAACATAACTGGGACACTAAAATCTCTGACTCTCCTAGTGGGTAAAATATATACACTTTAGGAGCTTTTGCTTATCTCAAAAGACAGCTACCACTGCTGAGCCCTCTTTCAGCATCCTCCCAACAAGTCCTGGCAGGTAAGTATTATCCCCATTTTATGGACAGGTGAGTTCCAGGTTCAAGGGCCGAGTCATTTTGGGTGCTCCCGTGTCTGGGCAGTGGAGAGCGAGGTCTGTGTCAGTCCTTGTGCTTTGTCCAGGACACCTTGCCACAGACCTGGGCTGGACCCATCTGTCATTCTGAATGCTGTGCTCTTATCACCCAGCTATGCTGCCAGGAGTCCCCTTATCTGGTAAAGCTCAGCTCCTGCACAGGAAACCTGCACGGGACCAGGAAACCCACAAAAGCAAAGTGCACCTCTGAGCAGCCAAAGGAAGAGTCCTTTCACTCAGTGGAGGGGTCAGGCTTTACTCTGACTTTGGAAACCTCATGAACAACCTTGAATTTTGGGTTTTCCATCCCAAGGAAAGCAGCTGGGGGAGGCTGGGGGTGAGAATGGTGGAAGTAGTGGGGACAGAGCCAAGAGGCAGTTATGGTTCAGCAACAGGCACTGACAGCCAGTGGGAGGAGAGGCAAGGGCAACTGGAAAAACTAGACAGAGCAGGTGGGGGATACTGCCCAGAGGGGGAAACTGCCCAGAGACCGTGATAGCCCCAATACGATGGCTCCACACTGTAGCACTAACGCACTGCACAGAGTAGCTGAGACCCGGCCCAGTAGGTGTCTGGATACTGCCCAGAGGGGGAAACTGCCCAGAGACCGTGATAGCCCCAATACGATGGCTCCACGCTGTAGCACTAATGCACTGCACAGAGTAGCTGAGACCCGGCCCAGTAGGTGTCTGGTAAAACCATCACTGCTCAGAACGATGGCACTGTGTTAGGTGTGCCTGGTTTAAGATGGCAGGGAAGTATAAAATGTACTTTAGAAAGATTTCTATTGGAAATGCTGACAGTAGCAAAGACTCTGATTCTCAGCCTAAGTGGCCCTCCTGCGTTACTTGGAGATGTTACTGATGAAAAGCCCACCAGTCCTGAGACACCAGACTTGGGGAGCCCTGGGTACCTGCTCCTTTTTCCATGGGCCGATGTCTGCACAGGAAAACCACTCACCATGGCTTCTTTATCTATCAGCCTGTACACGTCGGGCTGCACCAGGTAGGAAGTTTTCTCTATGATTCCCATGTATTTCTTCAACACACATTTTAGCTAGAAAAGACGAGGCACCATAGTTAGCGACTCTCATTTCCTGGAGAACTAAAAGGAAACAGAAGGATGCCCCATAAGCCCTGCAAGTGGAAACCAGCAAGGAGCCCGTCTGCAGCCAACTCACTCTGTCGGCTCGGGAGAACTCCAGCGAGTGCAGGGCTTCATCCAGCTCCTTAATCGCCTGCTTCTGGAGCAGGAACATCTCGGCCATCTTGTCCCGCAGCTCCCACAGGGTCTACGTGGAGAAGTTTGAGTCAGGCTGGGAGCCGCTGCAAGGGAGGGAAGGAATAGGACCGGGGTGGGACAGGCCTGGCCATGAAGGGACCCGTACTTGGATGGTGAAATCCTCAAGGCTGGTGTCATTTTCCACCTTTTTGAAGAGATGTTCAATGTCATCATTAGATTTGGACAGCTTTTTCAAAAAAAGTCCCCCTTTCTCCAAGATGAGAGGTTCCATTTCCTGCAACGAAGCCAGGAGGGTGATGGCCCATGGCTTCAACACCCCCGGCAGGGGCCTTCCCTGTGACAGGGAAGTGCCAGGCATGGGCCATTACCTAGACCTAAGGGGTTGAGGTTACTGACTAACTCATAGCCAGAGGCCACCAGCAGCCCACCATACGCTGGGCACTCTGTCCTGTGTTGAGCCCTGTGAAGAAGGTGCTGACATCGCGCCTAGCCCATGGGCGGCACTCAGCAAATACTAATTAAAGAAGTGGCCACATGAAAGAATCCCAAGTTTACTTCAGATAGGAAATGAAGGCACAGGTAGCTTGCTTGACCGAAGCCATGGAGCTCATGGTGACAGTACCGCTGGGTGTCCAGATGGGGCCTACTGAGTAATGCACCAGGGATGCCCATTCTTGGTGCTTGGAATACAGTGCCAGCCCCAGGAATCCACAGTGGGGCAACAGGAGGCACAGAAGAAAGGGTGAGCAGAAATCCAGGGCTCAGAAGAACCCAGAAGGGCAAAGGCTAGGGAACACTCCAGGCACCAGCGAGGCCAGCGAGGAGGTCTCTGGGGAGGAGTGTGGGGAAGAGCATGAGGCCCAGCAGCGTTCTCACCACCGCAATCTGCGCGATCTCCTCCTGAAAGCTCGCCAGGGCGAGCTCGTGGCTCCTCCTCTTGGCGTCTTCTCGCCCTTGAAGGCTGCTTTTCTTCTCAGGAACTGCGGGACAACAAGAGGTGATGAGACGGCCCTCGGGGCTCCAAGAGGTGGGGGAGCTCCAGGAACAGGCCACGCAGGCAGAGAGCGCCTGCACACCCGGGCTTGGGTTCAGAAGGTGGACCCCTAAGCCAGGCCGGCTGTGGCAGAGGCTCAAGGAAAAAGAGAAGAGATGAAGGTGACTCGTAAGTGCTACAGCGGATGAGGTCTTGCACAGAGAGATAAATGCTGAGAAAGATCCCAAGTAGTATGAATAGAATAATATCATTTATGGGTTTTTTTCAGTTTTATAAAAGCAAATACACATACAAATAATAATAACCAGCACTTATTACCACGCAGCAGGTAGTGTTCTAACTCAATGACCGTCCTGACAGGGCGGTCATAGAACCCGCCCCACTTCAGGAGGGAGGAAACCCAGGCACGGGGGCTAAGGAATGAAGCCAGTCAGTGCTGGGCAGGGATTTGGGCCTGGCCATCTGCTCCAGAGTCTGCGCTCCTACCCAGGGCTTGGCTGTCCCCTGTACCTACATGGGAAGCTGGGGACCATATGAGTCAGTGCTGGGCAGGGATTTGGGCCTGGCCATCTGCTCCAGAGTCTGCGCTCCTACCCAGTGCTTGGCTGTCCCCTGTACCTACATGGGAAGCTGGGGACCATATAGGTTAACAGGGTGGGGGGCATTGGTGGCTCTCTTGGGAGAAGAAGGGGTGCTGTTGTGGAGGGGGAGTTTTTACTTTCTGCCTTATCTCCTTCCTTTGTTTTCCTACAGTGAGCATGTATTAGTTTTTTAGTCATAAAGAAAAAGAGCCTGCATATTGGGATAAAGTCAGACTAGGACAGTGTGGTATGAAGGGAGAGAACGTGGACTGAGAAATGCCATAGTGAAATCGCAGCCCCTGCACAGGGGAACCTCAGATGAGATGCTCAGGTGCAAGCGCCCTCCCCGTGCTGAGCAGAGGAATGCAGTGGGAGCTTCAGGGGCTTCCTCAGAGGAGCCGCCAGGAGACAATGCCACCACCCCACCCCCGCCCAGGCTCTCTCTTGCCCAGGACAGGCCTAACCTGTGGCTGACCGAGGCTCACCGATGGTGTCCATGAGGCCCCGCACTTCTCGGGCAGCGATGGTGCTCTCGCTGTCTTGGGCTTTTTCCCTCTTGGCTATTTCCTTTTCCCTGAGGCACAAGCACAGGAGAAGAGTAAGCCCTCTCCCCTCCCCCACAACCCAGCCAGGGCAGCTGTGGCACATGGGAAGTGGCAGTGGCCTGGGCCCACCCCGATTCCAGAGGGCCCCAAGGCAGTGCTCAGGCTCCCGGCCAACGCTGCCTGGGCATCTCCTGACAGCAGACACTGCGGGTCCCTAGACAAGAAGTCAGGCCTCTGCCCTCAGGGAGCCTGCTTCTGCTCTGGCGGGTGGTAAATCAAGAGTGGGTGGTGGGCCCAAGCCATTTTCCATATAGGGAAACTGAGGACCAGGAGGCATGAGTAGTCTGACAAAGCCAGGCTGTGCTAGGCTCCGGCATGCGTCCTCTTTGCTCCTCCAGCAACCTATCCTGAGGCATTCCATTTTCCAGGAAGGGGGAAGGAGGCTTAGAGGAGCCACTGTATGAACCAGAGTTGGGATTCCAACACAGACCCTTGTGATATCAAGGCCTACTGGGTTTGGGTGAGAGAGGAGAGAGCTGGGATCCCAGGACAAACTGTCTCAGCAGGGAGGATGAGGGGGGTTGGATGTGACATTAGCTCTGAAATAAAAATTTGTTGAAGGCACTGTCTATAGGGCAAGCACCACAGAAGTCCCACAGTCTCCGCGACTGCTGCCTTTCCTTGGGGCCTGCCCCATGTCTGGTGCTTTCCAGCCATCTTTTCATTTAGTCCTCACTGCAGACCTAGCAGGGAGGAAGGCTGCAGGGCCTGGGCTGCGGCTGATGGGGCCCAGGCCAACCCTCCAGAGGGGGTCTTTTAGGCCTTATTATTCCGAATGCCCCTGGACCAAGGTAGCCCCATAGGAGCCCACGGGATGATAACTGCTGTGGACTCCGGCTTCTTGGTCGCTTGCACTGGGGACTTGGGGGCTTGCTTTCACTAATCGTGTTCTACCCCCTACCCTGGGCTGGTCTCCACCCACCCAGGGGCCCTGCCCTAGGTGACAGAGTGCACAGGTGGATCAGCCTCGCTTGGCTGCCTGAATTTTCAAGCACCTGCACCCTCTGCTCTGAGGCATGAGGAAGATGGGGTGTCCTGGCTCTGCCCCTCATCAGTTCAGCCCAGTCTGACCTTGCTAGCTCTGCAGAGTGTCTAGAGGGAGCTGGCCTGATGGCCAGGGCAGGCCCAAGAATGCCAACTCACAAAGGGGACAGGGAAAGAAGAACAGGAGAAGCCAGGGAGGGAGACCCAGGAGCTCTGCTGTGTGGGGAGCCCAGGGACCCGGGATTCCCAAGGAGATCTGCCCCTGGAGGAGGGCTGGCAGACTGCCCATGTGACCTCAGCAAGAGCAGCTGGGCATGGTCAAGAGCTGGACTGCCAAGGGCTGAGGAGCATCGGGGAGAGGCAGAGGCCTGTCAAAGACACTTGGCCTCAAGAGAAGGGTGGGGTAGGCAGGGACAGGGTGATGGCGGGAGTGGCTGAGACACGCTCCCCTTTCAAGAAGGGAGAGGCCTAAGAACCAGGAAGAGGCCGGAGGCAGGAGAGAGACAGTAGGACCGATGTTTGAGGGAGAGCTCAACAGAAGGAGGAGAGAAGGCTGGGCGGGATGACACCAGGAAGCCAGGGCAGCGCCAGGTGATGGCGGGAGTGGCTGAGACACGCTCCCCTTTCAAGAAGGGAGAGGCCTAAGAACCAGAAAGAGGCCGGAGGCAGGAGAGAGACAGTAGGATCGATGTTTGAGGGAGAGCTCAACAGAAGGAGGAGAGAAGGCTGGGCGGGATGACACCAGGAAGCCAGGGCAGCGCCAGCTGTTCCCGGCCCCTGGGAGGTACCTGGGGTGCCCAGGAGAACAGGAAGGTGCCCTCTGTGGCCTCTCTTCTGAGGTCAACAGGGGATGGACTGGGTGGGGGCTGGTGTGGGAAGGGGACCCTGGGGAGCACTGCAGGTTAGGAGAGGCTGCCCAAAGGGCCTGGCTGGGGCTGCTCTATCTGGGAGCCCCCTGCCCCCACAGACTGGGTGGTTCTGTCCAGCTGCCCTGGCTCCTGGAAGACCCAGGAAGGAGGGTGTGAGTTCTGCTGGGTGGGAAGAAAGAGGGGGACTGAGGGAGGTGAGCTGGTGACCCGGCCACTGGGGCTGAGCTGGTTGGGAAGAAAGTGAAGGCAGGAGAGGCTGCGGAGGGAGGAGAACGAAGGAAGGAAGACTCTTCTCAAGGTCAGGGGACAAGGAACCCCAGGGAGACTCTGGATGCCCAGTAGTGACCCCAGTCATTTTGAGAGTGGCAGGGACTGGAAAGTTACAAATACATCTCTGTTCCTGCCACAGTCCATGCTCTGGTTCTGCATCCAGGACAGAGCTGGGCTTGTCCATCTCTCCCAGGAAGCCAGCACAGCACAATGCCAGTGCCCTCTGTGAGAAGTGCCTTTCCCAAAACACTGTCCTGTGGGTGCTAAGAGCTCCCAACTGATGCCGATCTGGATATTGTATGATAGGTGGTCCTAGACTGAAACTTGGGGAAGAGGGGACCCTCAGGAGGCATAGGGAGACGTCAGGAGATGTCAGATCTGGATGAGAACAGGTCAGCTGAGAAGGGTCTAGGGACCCTTGTGGGAGCCAGAGTCACAGCCAGGCTGCCACACCGCCCTTGTGGGAGGTGGGTGGAGTCTGGGCAGGTCCCAGCTGCTTGCACCTCGAGATCCCCAGCCAGGGCATCAGGCAGGGGCCATAGGCTAGAGAACGCTGACCTGGAATCTGGGCTTGGGTGGGCCAGTGGATTTGCCCATTTGTAGGTAGTTTGTAGGTAGTTATGAGTGCTGAGGGTCAGAAGCCTTGGGGGAGGTTTCCCTGGGACAATTCCAAGGTCAGTCAGGGCGGAGACCTGTACCCAGCATTGGGCCCATTCCTGCTCCAAAGGTGGTGAAAGGGACAGCAAAGGCAGGCAGAAGAAGCCTGACTTCCGGTCCCAGAGTCCCAGGCCAGGCAAGGGGTTATGGCATGTGCGGAGAAGAGCCTGAGGGAAGCCCAGCTCCTGCTCTGTTCTCCCAAGGACCCCAAGAGGAAGATCCTTTCCTTTTCTTTTTTCCCTAGTTGAGGAGTCTGAGCTCAGTGAGCTAAAATGACTGCTTAGGAATCTCAAGTTTAACTTCTGAACTGGGATGTTCACAAGGAACTCCTGATCTCCCTGTTCCCCCTGTGCACACACACACCTGCTCACATCTCAGGGAACAGCACCTCTGCTGTCCACCCAGCACTCGGGCCAGAGCCCTAGGCCTCTAGGGAACCCTCTCCTCCCATCTAGTCCATGACTAGGTCCCGTGGGTTCTGCCTCCAAAAGGCACCTGAAATTCACCTATGGCAAGGACGAGCATTGTGGCCCCCTGCCTGGCCTCCCCACTTCTCCTTGCAGCCCCCCACATTCTGCACAGACCTGTCTGAGGGACTTGGAAATGCAAATCAGCTGCTCACTACAGTAAGTCCAAAAGACTGACTGTGGCCTGCAAGGCTTCTCCCAGCCCCCTCTCCTGCCCTCTCTCCAGGCCCACTGACCTTCTTCAGCCTTCTGGAACAGGCCAGGCCCATCCTCCTAGACCCTTGCCCTCCCCTCCCCCTCCCCTCTGGTCTCAGCTAAGGCCTCTTCTCAGAGAGCTTTCCTGTCCCACAGCCCCTGTCCTCTCAATCAGAGCCTTCCCACTTTTGCAAGGGCCATGTTTATTTATTTACTGTCCAGGCCCCAGATTCCATGAGAGTGGGATCCCACACCCAGTGCCTGGCCCTGGCCATTCAATCAATAAGTACTGGGAGAGGGGAGAGGGGAGGGAGAAGCAAACAATCCTGCAAACTAGGAGTTATTACTTTCCTGTTTCAGGGGAGGCACTTGAGGCTTCATTCCTACCCGGCACTCATCTTGTGTGAGCTCTTTTTGAGTTTTTGAAGACTCTGAGGTACTCCCAGTACATAGGGGTGTGGCCTGGGGGATGGGACATACCTGTATAGAACTGGGTTTTCTGTGACCCAGTCATTGGGGAGGCTGTGCACCCACTTCTGCTGCCGAGGAGACAACAACTCTCCTTCAGGAATCTCCACCTTCTTGATCATGGGTGTCCTGACATTCTTTGGGGTCAAAGAACGCTCCACAGCCCACTTCCTAGTGGCTGCCAGGGATTGGACCAGCTGCACCTGAATCCACGGACGACAGGGGAGGGGAGGTCAGAGCTGCAGACTCCTCAGCACCCCCATGCTGACTGTGACTGTCTTAGAAGGACACATGGGGGACCTGCCACAAGAAAGGTACTTTGCAGGGAGACCTCAGCCTCACGACACACCCCCTGCAGGAGGGCTCTCCTCCCCCATAATAGTCATTCAGCCACTTCTAGGAAGGCATCTTTTAAGAAATTTAAATGAGGATCAAAATGCTCGTCTCAGTCTTTTTTATAATCACAGGAACTGGAAACACAGAACTGTCCAATAACAGGGAATTGGTTGAGTAAACATGGTGTCCTTTGATGAAATGTTAGGCATTTATTAAAGATGAGACTTAAAAGGAATTTTTTATGACATGAGAAAATGCTTATGAGATGATATATAAACATATCATTTAGAAGCGTAAATTTAAATTATAACCAAAATTATACAGTATGATCTCAAAATTTAAAATGCTTAGAAAAATGGCTGGGAGGAACTATTGCAAACGTTAGGAATGGTGTATGGCTTAGAGGGAGTAGGATTATGTGAGCAATTTTATTGTTTCTTTGGTTTCTTTAGACTTTTATAGTTTCCAAAGGTTCTACAGAGAGCATTATTTAGGGATCAAATTAGGAATGAAAATTCTTTTTAAATAAGCAGCACAGAACTTCAAAGGAGGGATTTAAGTCTGTGTGCTTCTTTTAAGATCTCATTTGGTCCCTACAGTGCTTCAGAGAGAACAAGGCAATTTCAACAAGCTACACAGTCACCAAGAGGCCTTTAATACTGTATGGAGGGTCATGAAGGACGTGAATACCCAGGCACATGGGAAAGGGTCTGTGGGATACTATTGAGGAGACAAAGCAGTTTCAAAACCCAAGTACAGAATGAAACACGTTTCTTAAAAAAGAAAAATCAGAACTGCCTTTATGCATGGGAAAAAGACCTAGGGCTGAATGGTTAATCCAGGCTATTTCTGAGTAATTCAAATTCAAATTCAGGTTTTCTAATTTTCAAGAATAGCCAGTCTAATTTTGTATTAGTATATTTTAAGAACCAATGAGAATTATCGTTAAAATCAAATCGATTTCAAAGCCTTTCTTTCGTTAGATTCCCAGGGGGAGGGAAGTTTGGAGGAAGCAGAGGGAAGTTTGGGGGCGAGCAGACAGTAACGGGGGACAGAGGGCGGGCCCTACCTCAGCCTGGAAGATCTGATGGTAGACGTTCCCGTTCTGAACCTGGGTCACCTTCCCCACTGACGACATCTTGGCCGCTGGCCGGACGCCCCCGCCGGGAAGTATTCGTCCAGGAAACGCGTCTGGGGTTGGTCTCAATTCTGACCTCGAAGTCGGGAAACCGACGCCCGCCCAATTGCAGGTCCTCGTGGGACAACCACGGGCACCGCAGGCGGCATCGATCGAGCGGGACCGTCTGCTCGGGGACACCACGCCGACTCAGGGTTTTTATTTTAAACAAAACGAAGAGGGAGGGGGCGAAGAAAAAGAATAAAACTAACCTCAGATGAGCCACGAACTCGCGAACTCGCGGAGGAGGCTGGCCTCCCGGGCGCGCAAACGTGCGCGAGAAACTCGGGGGACAGGAGGAATGCAGGATTACTGTTTGTGCTTCACCCTGCCAGGCTCTTCTGGGAAAAGTCAACGCATCCAGGGTGTCAGCTGGGATTGGACCCCAACCTGGCGCTGAACTCGGGTCCAGGACCCCACCCCACCCTCCAGGGGACACAGGGAGGGCAAAGTGGAGGGAGGGATCAGCCTGATTCTGGCTGAGCTAATTAGGCGCCTACTGTGTGCCGGGAAGACCCAACCGGCTCCTCCTGCACCCCTCCCTACCATTCGGGTCCAGGACCCCACCCCACCCTCCAGGGGACACAGGGAGGGCAAAGTGGAGGGAGGGAGCAGCCTGATTCTGGCTGGGCTAATTAGGCGCCTACTGTGTGCCGGGAAGACCCAACCGGCTCCTCCTGCACCCCTGCCTACCACCCCCCACCCCCCGAAGCAGCCCGGGAAAGCCCTGGATGTCCCCCCGAGCCCAGCTCAGATTGGAGGGAGGCCTCGCGCCCGGCCCCGCCGCGTCCCCACCTGCAGAAAGCACCGCTCAAGTCAGCCAAGGCCGGTGCAGCCGCGACTGCAACAGGACGCCCATGGTCTCCAAGGCAACGCGGAGGGGAGGGGCCGCGCAGGCCCCGCCCACGCTTCCCTGCCCAGGGAGGAGGGGGTGCCCTTGGCCGGGAGCGCCCCAGTGCCCCGCTGAAACTCAATCCACTGCTTCCTTCACTGCCAGTTTCTCCTCTGTACAAGGAGCATCCAGAGCAGCACATGAAATGTTCTGAAAGCTAGTAGGAGATATGAGATGTAGCACTGAGCATAATCAAGAAAATTCATCCCATCTTCTTTGCCTTGGCTAAAAACCACCTCTGCTGGGAGGTAGCATAGGGTAGTTCTTGCCTGTAAGCCAGAAGCTGAAAGACTCTGAAAGAGACCGCCTCTTTCCCGGTTTAAAGGTGGCTGACGAGCTCAGATCCAGGGCTCAAGGCTCGCCTGGCGAAAGCTGAAAATGCTTGTGGTTGGCACCGAATGTGGTCTAGGGTTTCCCATATACATAAGAAACTCTCAGCTCCTTCTTAGAGAATCCCCCCCACCCCTTGGCAGGGATCCCTGTGCAGATTGCTAATCAATGCTCCCACGCCAACTTCCTAAAACAAGTGATCGTTCTGTCCAGTCTAGCATCAGAAATTAAGAAACAGGGAGAAGAAAACCCTTATTCTCATTCTTTGGCCCTGGGTTTTATTAACAAGGTAAAATATTATAACATAAATTGAATTCATTTTAGCTGGAAAAAGAAAAAATGTAGGTGACTGAGGGAAGGGATGAAAACATAATTTAAAAAATTGAATTCATTTTAGCTGGAAAAAGAAAAAATGTAGGTGACTGAGGGAAGGGATGAAAAACACAATTTTTTTTAAAAAAGGAAATATCCATGAATTATTTGCAGTCTCTGATATTTCTTTCCCTACTGCCTTGGGTCTTGTACATCAGAAACAATTTTCCCTGTACAAATGCTTTCTGGGTTTTAGTTATTGGTACACCTGTAATTTGGGGGTTTCTTTCTTTTTTAAAAAATCACATATGGCTATAAATATATAGGCATGGGCATATCATGTCTAGTGGTTTTTGTTTTGTTTCGTTTTCTGTTTAAACAACGCACTATTGCAGAAAATTAGAAAATAAAAAAATTCAATGGAGAAAATAAAAATAACCCATAATCCCACATTTCTGAGCCATTGTGTGTGAGTTTGGATCAAACATGAAAGTTTCTGTTTGGCTTTTGGATGGGGCTATGGGTTACATGTGTCCCCAAAAGTTCATGTACTGGAAACTTGACCCCCATTGTAACAGTATTAATAAGGTAGAAATTCAATGATGGTATTTGAAAGGTGGAGCCTTTGAGAGGTGATTAGATTGTGAGGACCGTGCCTTTCTGAATAAATTGATCCATTCATAGAGTAATGGGCATGCTTCTGACGGTTTTTATAAGGAGAGCAGGTGAGAAGGTTAGCTCTCTCTTGCTCAGGCCCTTCTCACCATGTGAACTGCTGGATGCTGTAGAAAGTCACCACAAAGAAGAAGGCCCTCACCAGATGTGTTCCCTGGACCTAGGACTTCCCAGCCACCAAACTGTATGAAATAAAATTCACTTCTTTATAAATTACCCACTTTCAGGAATTCTGTTATTGGCAACAGAAACAGACTAATAAAGATGGCATTTCCATTGCCCTCCCAAGTCGACAATGTCGTAGCTGGAAAGACTAACCAGCTAGAGATCACCTGGTTAGTCTATCTCCCATGTTTAGAGATGTGCAGGAAGCCAGAGACAGGAAATGGAAGGAGAGATGTCAGGCCTCTGACTCTTTTCCTTGCACTTCAGCATCATCTCTGATCTTTTCCCTCTCACTCTTCACCTAGAAAATGTCTCTTGATTCAAAACTCATCCTCCTTCCTGTACCCCAGGCCATTATCTGTCTTCTGCATAGTCCATAGAAGGAAGAGCAATAGGGACCACCACAATAGCTACTAGTTATTAAGAAAATTTAATCCCTTCAATAACTATGACAGGAATACTGTAATTAATCCATTTTACAGAGGAAGAAACTGAAGCTCAGAGTTAGTCACTTGGACAAGATCTCCAAGATAGGAAATGGTTAGACCCAGAATATGAATCTAGACCATGTAATTCCAGAGCCTTGAACCAACCACTGTCAAATCTGGCCTTGTGACTAACCAGAAAAGAAGTTCTCTGTCCAACTGATTGGATTTTCATGTTGAAACATAGCACACATACCTAAAAGCGTAGAAATCATAAATGTATATCTCAATGAATTACCTGAAAGGAACATACCCAGTAACCAGTACCCATAAGAAATAGAACATTCCCAACTCTTCAGAATCCTCTCCGACGTACTCGTCCCAAGTCACTGCCCTCTCTTCCCCAAGAATAACAAATATTCTAACTTCTGAATTAGTTTTGCTTTTAAAAAAATTTTATTTAAATGGAATCACACAGAATGGACTCTTTTATATCAAGCTTCTTTTATCATGTAAAAGATTCATACATGTTTTTGAATGTGGCTACAGTTTATTTCTGTATAGTATTCCATTATTTAAAAATATAACCCATTTTATTTCTCCTTTCTATTATTGCTGCACATTGGGTTTTTTCAGTTTGGGAATATACCAGTAACGCTGCTGTAAGCATACTTTTGCATGGTGAGTATGTGTAAGCATTTCTATTGGGTATACATTTAAGAGTGGAATTGTTGGGTCATAGAGCGTGTGGATGTCCAACTTTAGGAGATACTACCAAAGAATTTTTGAAAGTGGTTGTAACGGTTTACACACACAGCAGTGTACGAGAGTCCCAGTTTCTTTACATCCTCACCAACACTTGATATTGTCCCTGGTTTTCATTTTAGCCCTTATGTGCTTGTATCACAGTTTGACTTTAATTTGCATTTCCTGATGAGTAACAATGTGGAACACTTTTAATTTACTGATAGGCTATTTGGATACCTTTTTGTGAAACACTTAGTCAAATATTCTGTCCAATTTTTCTGGTGGATTGTCCTTTTTTCTTACTAATTTATGGGAGTTCATTATATATCCTAAGAGAAGGCTTTTTGCACATAACACATGGCAAATATTTATTCCCATTGCATTTTGACTTTTTTGAAGGTGTCTTTTGATGAAGTGAAGTTCTAAATTTTAATAAAGCACAATTTATTAATTTTTGTCTTTACCATTTCTGTACTTGTGTCCTACTTAGGAAATCTTTGCCTGCCCCAAGGTCATAAAAATATTCTCCAATGTCATCTACCATAAATATTGTTTTAACCACCTAGAATTGGTTTTTATCTCGTTTTGCTCTGTATGGAGTAAAAGTCACAATTCATTTCTTTCCCATCTGGAGAACCCAGACGTTTACTGAGAAGACTGTCTTCTCCCCACTGCTCTGCTGTGCCTCTTTTGCCATCCTTAGAATGTCCAAAGTGTGGGTCTGAGCTGGACTCTCTATTCTTTCTGTTTCTCCTTACGTCTGTCCTTGCACTAGTAGCACACAAAGGCTTGATTATTGTAGCTTTAAACCAAGTCTTAATATCTGGTGGTGTAAGTCCTCCAACTTTGTTCTTCTTCCAGATCATCTGGACTGTTCTCAGCCCTTTGTATTTCTATGTAAATTTTGAAATTGGATAGTCAGTTTCACAGGCTATCTGGTGAGATGCCTTCTTGTGATTGTGTAATCTGTTGGTCACCGTGAGGATAAGCAACATCTTAGTAATACATAGCAAACAAACAAACAAAAAAAACCCCAGAAAAACACACAAAACACAAACAAAACCAAAAATAAAAAAGATTGAGACCAAAGCAAAATACCGTAATAAAAAGGAAGAAATAATAAACTTGGAATAAATAATTGCAACTCATATCACAAAGGGGCTCACCTCCCCAATGTATAAAAAGCTCCTAGGGCCGACTGGTTAGCTCAGTTGGTAGAGCATGGTGCTGATAACACCAAGGTCAAGGGTTCTGATCCCCCGACCGGCCTGCTGCCGGAAAACCAAACCAAAACAAAACAAAACAAAAACCTACAAATTCATAAGAAAAACAACAATCAGAATTCCTTGAACTTGTTAAGACAAGCCAACAGATATGATATTGATGGGGGGGGGGAGAGGGACGGGAGAGGGGGTGGGGAGGGAGGATGCGGTAAAGGGACACGAAATCAACTACATTGTATATTGATAAAATAAAATAAATAAATTTTTTTAAAATTTTATTTTGTCGATATACATTGTGGTTGATTAATGTTGCCCCTTACCAAAACCTCCCTCCCTCCTCCCTCTCC